AGGAAATACAATGTAGCACGTCTGATTTCTATTATACAATACTCACACATATGTCAATAATTAATATACAAACGTACATACACACACACACACACACACGCACACGCACGCACACATACACACACACACATACATATATATTTATATACATCAATAGAACGAATGTGATATGTTTATTTAAAAGTATGATTGATATATGAACATATTTAGTTTTTATATCATGTAGTTTGTTTAGGAGTGAACGAGCGAACAAACAAACAAACAAAATAATGAACGAACGAACGAACGAACGAACAAACAAACGAACAAACAATCAGTCAATGAACAAACACGAATTAGAAACTAATCAAGTATTGTACTACCTCGAGATAGGATCAATACAATAAAGCAAGTATCGAAGTGCCACGAGATTCTTTTAAAATGAAGTGATCGAGTTAAACGCTACAAAAATGGTGTATATATAAATTGCGGAGATTCATTGAAATGAAATGAAAAGTAATAATTTCATATCTCGTTTTGTATATACTAGTAAATAACTACCGTATCACTAGATTACATATTCATTTTCGAATCTGTATGTGTATATGTTTGTACACACACACACACACACACACACACACACACACACACACACACACACTCACACACACACACAATACACACATACACACCTTGAGTGTGTGTACACTGTATGTATGTGTAAACGTTTAGTTGTGTTTCATCAATAGCAACAACATTATCAACAACAATTAAAACGTTAATAATAATAAAAACATTAATAAATAATAATAATAATAATAATAATAACCTTGAAGAACATAGAATCGGCGTTTCTCTGACCAATCCAAACATTCCTCAACAGTGACGATGACGACGACGATGACTTAGATAACTTTTTAATTGAGTTAAACTTTTTATACAAATCCATAGAGTGCAACTGTTTGCTCAGAGAAACTTTGCAGTCCACGTAGAGGGTGAGGTGGGAGTCCCGGGACACGCTGGCGATGATGGAGTGCCACCTGGAGTCGGAAATATCCTGCTGTGACGTCAGAGTGGTGTCGACGTCATCATGCCGGTAGTGCACTCTCAGTTCCTTGGAAATGGCGCTGCTCTCAATCTCGAACAACCTTTGAATGTTGGGAATTTTAATGAAGACGATGGTGATGAAGATGGTTATGAAGATGGTGAGGACGATGATGATGGAGATGGTGAGGATGGTGATAGTAATGATAATGATGGTGGTGATAAAGATGACGATGATGACGACGACATAAAGATGATAATGACGATATACATCAGTAACTAGATGAATAAAATAATAAATAACCGAACGAACGAACGAACGAACGAACGAACGAACGAACGAACGAACGAACGAACAAACAAGGAAACAAAAACGAATCAATAAATGATACTTACACATGACCAGATTGAGATTCGAAAGAGATAAGACTGGCTGTGTTCAACTTCTTCTGCTTCACCATCATCATAACTGTAAACCCATTCCTCCTACTACTACTACTACTATCGCTATTGCTACTGCTACTACTACCACCACTGCTGCTGCTGCTGCTGCTGCCAATACCACTACTTGTGGTTGTAGCACCGCTGTTACGAGGTTTGAAAGAAGACGTAATCGATGATGACGAAGATGACGATGGTGGTGTAAACGATGACGCTGCTGATGACGTAAACGATGATGATGATGATGGTGATGATGACGACGACAAAAACTTATCTTGCATCTTGCACAATAGTGGCTGAGAGACGTTGAAATGCCTAATGATATCTGTCGGTGGGTTTATTCATTCATATTTATATTTTCATTCATTCATTCATACATTCATTCATTCATACATATACACACTCTTAAACGCTCACATACACAAACATTCATAGACACTTAAATATCCGGCAAAATTATCACTATCATCATCGTTATTACTTCTATTATCATTATTATTATAATTATCATTATTATTATTATTATTATAGTTATTATCATCATCATCATCGTTATCATGCCCATTCATTCATTTAAAAGGCACCTTATCATCTGCTAATGGTATCAGCCATCAGGTTTAATTCATCTTATTTCCATATCGAGTGACGAAATGAACACTCACACGGAATTGTGTATTTTTGTAGTATTAAACAAGAACGCGCGCGCACACACACGCACACACACGCACGCACACACACACACACAAACACATACATACATACATACATACATCCATAAAGGTGGAGACGATGATACTATTAGTATCATCGTTAGTATCATCGTTAGTATCATGCTAATGATTAACCATGACGACGACGATGATGATAAGGAACGATGTTGATAACGATTACGACGACGATGGTGATGACGATGATGACGAAGACGCAAGCTAATGTACAAGAACAGACAAACAAACAGACAAACAGGCAAACAAACAAACAGCCAGAGAGCATTTTATGAAATAATAATTTTATAGGAGATAAGCTTTTTGTTACACTACTGTATCAACATTATTATTCTTTTCCATAACACTTTTTTGAATGCATTTATGTTACTTTAATATGATTTTTTGTTTCTTTTTTTATGAATGAATGAACGAATGAATGAACGAACGAACGAACGAAACGAACGAATGAATGAACAAACGAATGAATAAAAAGAATAACTCATCTTAATCAGTTTTATAAAACAAGAATAACTGATGAAGACATTAAAAAGAAAAACACCATATACACACACCCACAAACACTGACACACACATACATGCAACAACAGAGAAGTGAGAGAGAAAGAGAGAGAAAGAGAGAGAGAGAGAGAGAGAGATAATTCGGCACGCACACATACACACACAACACACACACATACATACACACACACCCAAATTCATGATGCTTACTTTTAAATCGATAAGCAATTCCTGAGCTAAAAATATCCATACTATCCTTATTATTATTATAAAAATTATTGTTGTTGTTGTTGTTATTGTTATTGTGGTGACCAGGAACAAGGAATACTGCTTTCTGATTCGTTGATGACCTCATGACGTCATTCAACAGATGATACACTTCCCACGACGACGAAGATGACGACGATAACGGAAGTGATGATGATGATGACACTGATGATAATGTTGTCGATGATGATGATGGTGGTGACGATGACGATGATGATGATGATGATGATGTTGTTGGTGAATGAAGAAAAAAGTTAGATGATAATGACGATGTTGATGATGATGATGATGAGGGCGGATATTGATGTGTTGTTGATGTTAAATGGTGATGTCGTCGATTGTTGCTGTTGTTGTTATTGTTGTTATTATTATTGTTGTTGTTGTTGTGGCCATGGTGGTGGTTGTGGCCGTTGAAGTAGCCGGTGGTGTGTTTGTTGTGGGTGGTCTCCGTTGGGAGTCTGCCAGG